TCCATTTTTGTTCAATTTAGTCCTTAAAATTATATTTTTATAAAAATTGATCCATAATTATTTATATTTTTTTATAATTTACTCTAAATCACATACAATTACAATTACAATTACAATTCAACGTTCATGAAAAAAGCGAAAATAATTAATCCAAAAATAAAAAATGGCTCGACCTGAAGTTAATATGTATCCGATAAGATCATACATGAATTTTGACTGTCAATGATATGACCCGATTTGAACGAGATCCGACTAAAGCCCACCCGAACCTGAATTAACCTGGTATTTAACTGCTCTAAACCTAAACTATTTTTACCTGAACTGACATTGATCTGAACTGAAATTAACCCGACCTGAACCCGAATTGAACTTGATGTCAAATCAACCTGAAAATGATCCGAACTGATTTGACATGGACTCGATCTGATCCGATTCGAACCATCAAATTGATCTGACACAACCTATATCTGATTTTACCTGACCTGATAGGATTCAACTGAAACACATCCCTAATCTTTAGGCTAACCTGCAACCAAACCATTATAATAGTTAATCGTTAGCAATTATCCGTTTTTGAGTAGTTAAATTATGATTAACAAAATTTAGTAAGTGGCCATGAACACTCCTAGTATTAAAGTCAAAAACTATACAAAGGTGAGGAATACGATGCTATTACACTATGTTAAAGTAATTTTTTTGATTATTAAATTTGTAAATGTTATAAAATAGTTATTAAACTTATTGAATTGTTATTTAATATCCTTAAAATATTATAAAAAATAACAAATTTGAGTAAAGTACATTAAAGGTCACTATACTATTCAGATTATCGTTTAAATTATTGAACTTTCAAAAGTTACAAAATGGTCATTACATTTTATCGAATTATTATAAAACAATCGTTAAATTTTATCGAACTATTAAAAATGTCTTTAAATATATCAATTTACAGTCATTATACTGTTGTAGTGATCATTTTATAATAATTTAATAAATTTAATGATTATTTTTATACTTTTTGAAAGTTTAGTGATCAACATAATCATTTAAACGTAGTTCAATAGCCTTCGATATAATTTATCTAATAAACTTTGTTTATAAATTCAATCATTATTCTGCAATAATTTACTAAATTCAATGACAAAAATTCCATAGTATACTGAAATAATTATTAAAAATATGTTAATTATGAATACTAATATTATCATGTTAACCTATTAAATGAACTCAATTGGTAAAGAGAATATTATCTTTTATTGAGATTTTGAATTCAAATAACTATATTTATAGGATCTATATACATTGTCAATGGCTAAGATAGTTAATGAACAGAGACCTCAATGATCCACCGTTTGGACCTGACGCCATTTCATCCACCGTTTGAGTACTGTCGTCACCACCTGTAGTGCCCGGCGATTTTTCATCTTGATGTAGAAGTTTCTTGGTTTGCCTAGAGACCTCAATTGTTACTGCTGCGTTTTCCAAATGCAAAATTGCTTTTAGTACGATGTGGTTTCATATAAAAGTTGTTTTCATTTTATTAATTTTTATTATTAATTATATAAAATTTTAATAATTTATTTTGAGTTAATTATTTAAAACGCATGGCAAGATACGATGCACGTAATAAAGAAATGGATGCAAAATCATTTATGTTGAATTCAGTAGCGGAGCTGAAACTTGGGACTGAAATTTGAATTTTTTTCGATTAGTTATTTATTTTATTGATAGTGTTCTGTTGAGATTTGAAGAGGCTTAATTGAAACAGCCGAAAATTGTACAAGAGGGGTGAATTGGCAAATATTGTTTAGGGAGTAAGGAAAAAAAAGATAGACAATTTTGCACAGCGATTTATAGTGGTTTGACTTCTCAACTAAGTCTATATCCACTATCTTAGCTCCTCACTAAGGATTTTTCCACAAATCCACTAATTTTTTCTTTCTTTTTCAAGGACAAAGAGATAACATTTACAAAACTCCTAGCTTTTCAAAGTCCTAGCTAGAACCAAAACCCCTTTACAAGGAAAAAGATGTAAACAAAGAAAACCTCTCTAAGATAGGTGTTTACAATGAATTAAAGCTCACAATAACAAAATATTTACAAGAAAATAGGAATAAAGAGTGAAAAGCTCTTCTCTTGTGTTTGATTGTTTGGATAGGTGTTCTCTAACATTCTTCAAGTGTCTTGAACTTGTATTTACTTGTTGGAATGAGATTGAGGTCGTTTCTAGCCGTTGGGAGTGATTTGAAGCTGTTGGAGATGTTTTTTCAGCAAAATAAAATTGCCTAGTACAGAGGGTATCAATACTCCTACAGTGAGTATCGGTACTACCTTTGTTATTTTTAAATAAAACTAGTCATTACTAGTCGTTGGGTCTGACAGTATCGATACTAAGCCTACGGTATCAATACTAAGCCTACGGTATCAATACTACTATGTAAAGTAGTATCGATACCCCTTTGGGTATCGGTACTATTTTTGCATTTTGAAATTTGAGAAATGTCGGTAGTATCGATACTATCTAGTGAGAATCAATATTTCCCTTACCTTTGGTATCGGTACAATATCAATATTGTTCATATAGTATCGATATTGTAAAAACAATATCGATACTTTTTGTTCAGAAAACATTTTGTGCTTAATTCCAGGTTTTAATGGACTTTGAATTATTTGAGTAAATTCAATTCAAGTCCAAAAAATTTTACATTAATTTATTATATCAAAACATTATAAAAAGTGGTTCAACATGTTCATTCTGAAAATTTTCTTGCCTACCTTAAAATTTGAGTTTTCTTCTATTAGCTACTTATTTTACTATATTTTACTGACGGTACTCGCCCCGAAATTTAAATATTTTTTGATTAGTTACTTATTTTACTGACGGTACACACCTTAAAATTTTATTTGTACCCATCCATTTAAAAAAAGTTTTGTAGTATACATGTCTTCATTCTTAATAATATTTCTAGATCCGTTATTGATTGAATTGGGTTTAAATGGTTTATTTTCTCGTTTTGAACATGCAAACGTGTTTTTGCTAGTGGAATTGGTGCCACCTGCGGCTGTTTTTGGCAATGGAATGATTTTTCCACAGTTTCCACCTTCTCTGAAGTTTCTTCGGCTTCTTTAGTGTACTCTCTGTTAGATCAAAAAATATCACAGAAGAATCATATCTTGAAATTTTAAAATTTTACTTTTAATTGTTTTTCTAGTTCTCATGGTTTTATCTTATTTAATTCGGTTTTAATAATATCGTATATTTAATTTCGATGGGTGAATTTCCTAACGAAAATTTTATTGTATACATAAGAATTTGAACTATAAATTTTACTTTAACGATATCAAACTGCTTAGCACATGAACTAATCTTATCGTAAGAAATTTTCATGCAATCTCTCGGGTTATCTTTCTGAATTGTCAAACATAAAGTCTGTTGAACCGACCAAACGCGTTTTTTTGCTGTTACGACTAATAATAGAATGGTTTTACCAACGTTCCCGCTTTCTTTGAAGTTTGTTTCGTCAATTCAATAAACTTTAGGGTAAACTACACGGGAGACCACCAAACTATGGTCATAAATCGATCTTGCCACCAAACTATTTTTTATCTTAATTCGACCACCAAATTTTTTAATTGAATCAATCAGACCACTCTCCGTTAAAAAAACGGACTTGCTGACGTGTCCGTTAATAAAAATAGCATAATTCTATATTTGGTCCTTAATATTTACATATAAAATCATTTAATAAAACCTTCCAATCGTGTATTGACACGTGTCATGTTCAATTGATAGTTAAATTTATTTAATTGAATTAAAATAGTGACTAAATTGATATAATATATAAATATTAAGGACCAAATATAGAATTATGCTATTTTTATTAACGGACATGTCAGCAAGTCCGTTTTTTTAAGAGAGAGTGGTCTGATTGATTCAATTAAAAGTTTGGTGGTCGAATTGAGACAAAAATTAGTTCGGTGGCAAGATCTATTTATGACCATAGTTTGGTGGTCTCCCATGTAGTTTACCCCAAACTTTACCATTTTTACGGGTAAACTATATCATTGCTCACCAAACTATTATTATTTTTCTAATTTTACAGTTAAATTATTCTTTCTTCAAATTTGATCAATAATGTTACAGTGTTTTTCCTTTGGTCACTATCCGTTACACAATTAGAGGAGATGATATCTTGGTCTGGTATTATAATAGTATTAGTTTCTAAATTTATATATTTTATTAATTTAATCTTTATTTTTAAAAATTAATAAAGGCCCTTTCAATTTAGTCATCATTTGTTTATTATAAACAATTTAATAAATTTAACCCTCCGTTAATCATCTATAAAAGGGATATTTAATCATTAGGTCAATCTATGTAATTATTATATGGTTAACAAAATTAATACTCCATATGTCCTAATAAACTTTCACTTTTGTGTTTCTAAATTGTATCACGCAAATTGTCACTTTTTTCTATCTTTTCTTAGTTTGCTAACAAAAATAAAATTTAAATTCTCAAATATTAAATTATCATTTTAATTATTTTACATCATAAGTTTTATAACACATTTTCTTCTTAAAATTACGTGAAAAAATCAACATGCGATAGTTTAATCGGGATAGAGAGACTATCTTGATTAAATTATTTATATTTAAAATAATAACTAATTTGATAAAAAAAATTAAATATTAGAAGTTACATTTATTTTTTAAAAAATATGACAACTAAAACTGTTATTACATCAGATTACCTCATCAGCTCAGTTATTGTTTAATGTTAACCAAAATAAAAAAATGTAACATTAGTGATTAAATTTATAGAAAAAATAGTTTAGTAACCAAAGTAGAAAACGAATAATACTTTGGTGATTAATGGTGTAATTTATCCATTTCTTGTACTATTTGCCATTAATTAACATAAATACCTCTGTTTTGTTCAAAAGTTGATATGCATTTCAGTAACGTCCATTCAGCCAAAATAAACAACTCAACAATTATTCAGGAACAATCATATACTTGAAGTAATGAAGACAAAGGAAGACTCAACAACTAATCAATCACCTAGGCGACATATTCGAAATCGTAACCTCATTAACAGAACAGATTTTGTCACTTGAATTGGGTTGAATTGGTTCTGCAACAATACGCCTAACATAAAAAGCAGGCTCTGCTGGTAGAGGCAGCGTTATGGTGTCGTTTCCCAACATGGCAACCACAGTTGTCATGGTTGGTCTGTCTACCGGATCTGCTTGCACGCACAATAGGCCGATTTGAATGCATTTAAGCACCTCAGTCGGCACACTCGACTCGAGAACATGCTCTTCTATTAGCTCCATCGCTTCACCTTTAGACCATAGCTTCCATGCCTACAATTATCACTTAGAATTAGCCTCTTGTATATAATATCAGTTTAATTATTCGTCGAAGATCGGATGAGAGAACATACAAAAATCAAGAGGCTTTCACCATGTTCTGATAAATGAAACCCGTTATTCCTCTTTCCGGTTATAATCTCCAGCAAAAGAACTCCGAAACTGAAAACATCAGATTTGACAGAAAAATGTCCTTCCATTGCATACTCGGGCGCCATGTACCCACTGTTTTAGTTCATAAGAGACGATGATTAAAACAGAATTCGATAATCATGGAAAGAATTTATAGACTTACTATGTTCCAACTACTCTATTTGTATTTGCTTCGTTCTGATCTCCACCGAAAATTTTTGCCATGCCAAAGTCTGAAATTTTCGGGTTCATTTCATGATCAAGTAAAACATTACTTGCTTTAAGGTCTCTGTGGATGATTCTAAGGCGAGAATCTTCGTGCAGATACATGATACCTCTGGCAGTTCCTCTAATGATGTTTAATCGTTTCTGCCAAGTCAGTTGTGCAGCTAAACTCGAATCTGACATATCTCGAAAAAGAGAAAAAAATGGACTAAGAAAATATTGAAATTTGTTATATTTATGAATGAGATAATGTTGGTATCAAAAGGTTGAAGAATCAAACTGAATAGGAACAAGTCAAGGCTTTTGTTGGGCATGAATTCATATACAAGCAACTTTTCGTTTTTCTCTAAGCAACATCCCAAGAGCCGCACAAGATTTCTATGCTGTAATCTGGCAATTAACATGACTTCATTCTTGAACTCAAGCAGCCCTTGACTTGAAGTTTTCGACAGCCTTTTTACTGCAATTTCTTTACCATCTGCTAGAATGCCCTGGAAATGAACATAGTAATATGAGTACTTTGTTCCATGTGATAAAAGTTTATAAACATAATTACCTTGTATACAGGGCCAAAGCCACCTTGTCCGAGCTTATTTTCATCAGAAAAACTATTCGTTGCTGCTTGTAAAATATGCAATTGCATTGAAGGAAACTCCTGGGATCTTCCCACATCGTCTAGATTAAATTTTTCGCTTAAGTTATCGTGAGGAGCGCTTCCCACCATCATGTCAAGTAACTGAACTTCTCCACTATCTTCTTTATCCTCTGACGTAAAACAAAAGCTGATTGGTATACGATTATAACACAAATCTGTAAATGCTTGCGTGATCTAATAGTCCATACCTTGAATGTTTCTCCTCCTCCAGATGAAAAAAGCACAAGCAGAAAACAGAGCTAGTCCAAGAGCAGCTGATAAACTTGCACCAAGTGGAAGCCATATTGATTTTTTTTGTTCATCTGATCCCCCCAAAGAAAAAGAAAAGAAAACGAGATCTTATCAAGAACTTGTGGAAGCACATGCAACAAGAAACACAACTCAAATAGCCTAATGATGTAATTTTTATTTACATCATTGTACTCGTGAGACTCACCTTTTGTAACTACGGAAGGACTACCAGGTGCGGTTGGAGGAGTTAAGGATGCAGTATTGGAAGAAGCATTGGTTACATAGAAGGGGTACCGATCCCACCTGAAAATACAGTTAGGTCTCTGAATATAACCACCTTGCTGCCCATGGCAACAGCGTCCATAGTCAGCCACGGATGCCATTAGGCAGGCTTTACAATCCCACTTTGATAAATCAGAAGTGCACTGCATTAGTGCATATATCTTTTGGTCTACTGTAAATTCTGCTTCCTCAGTTGCATACTTAAGACTAGATGAGCGGGTGGAAGCCTTCGTCATCAGTCTCTCCATCAAACTATCCCAAACCATATCGAATTCTGTTAAGTTTGATGTGATGACACTACTGTCAGGGGATTCCATTACTGGCTCTAGCTCCAGCTTTCCATAAAACGAGCGGTTTGCATAGCGCACAAAACATAAGATGTCACCTCCCCATGAAAGGGCTTCTTTCTGGTTGGGACAGCTATCTATGAGATTGTTGATTGTGAAACTGAGACATCTATAACAAAGGTCTGAAGAGTTTCCTCCTACGCACATACCAAGAGCGTAAACTTTGTCGGAGTTCTGGCCAATAGTGGGATTGAAGAATCCACCGTTTGCAGAGACCTTAAGTGGGAGTGAATCGAGAATAGAGTCGCGATTTTTGCCGTAAGTACTATTTGTTGTGAAATTACCAGTGTCGTCGTAGCATTTTGGGGCGGTAGTAGAGGTATCCGGTACATAGAAGGGATACAAATCCCATCTAAACCAACAGTTAGGCTTCTGAACATAACCTCCCTGCTTTCCATGGCAACAGCTTTCATAATAAGCAACGGATTGCCTTAGGCAGGAATCACAATCCTTGTCCGATAAATCCGGAGTGCACTGCATTAGTGCATATATCTTTAGGAATTCATCGAAATAAGCTTCTCCGGTTGCATACTTAAGAGCAGAAGAGCCGCTGGAAGCCTTTCTCGCCACACTGTCCATCAATCTCTCCCAGACCGTATCGAATTCTGTTAAGTTCGATGGTATATTGCCCGTATTATAGCCTGCGTCGGTCGGTTCTAGCTCGAGGATTCCGAAGAAGGGACGATCTGCATAGCGAGCAATACATGGGGGGTCACCTCCCCATGAAAGGGCTTCTTTCTGGTTGGGACAGCTAGCTATGAGGTCGTGGATTGAAGAATTGAGACATGTATAACAACCATCAGGAGTAGAGTCTCCTCTGCACATACCGAGAGCGTAAACTTTGCTGGAGTTTTGGCCAACACTTTCAGTAAGGAAACCACCTTTTGCAGAGACATTAGGTAGGAGAGAAGAGAGAATAAGGTCTCGGTTTTTGACATATGTACTATTAACGGTGAAATTCCCAGTGTCATAGCACCTCAGATTAGCTTCAACAAGACTGATGCCAATAAGCAGATAAGAGAGGAATGAAGAAAGAGCTTCAAGTTTAACCGCCATTGAGATTCTATAGTTTGATGAAACGGAGACCAAAAAGAAAAAGAGGGAAGTGAGAACTTCTGTTCCAGATTTTTCCTGGTAGAGATGGGTGTTATTTTTGTTCCTTTGCAGTAAAGAGCACCCATTGAAGCGAAAGGCTTGAGCTGTTAACAAGCCGAACCTCAAGACTTTAGTTCCTCAGTCAACTGTGTGAGGTCCAGTTGGTAGGTCATATATATTTAATTAAACTACAACAACAGTCACTAATGTTTGAGTAAGTTTTTGTTTTTCTGACTAAAGTTTTAAAATAACAAATTGGTCACTAATATTATCAATTTGTAACAAAAAGGTCACTCCTTCATTTCTTTATTAAATTGATGATGTGACAATATTAATAAAAAGGCTAATATTCAGTTTTACCCTTAAAATACTGCTAAAATATTAAGTAGGTCCTTAAACAATGATTTTATATCAAATTTACCCCAAAATTTTCTAATTTGAAAAAGAAGAGGTTCAAATGATTGTCGATCGGGTATTAAACAATTTGTAAACTTCGAGAAAGGATATGAGACCGACGATGTTACTATGAACATTAACATTATTGACAAATGACTAGAAAATGGTGGTTTAGCTTTTACTTGAATCTTTGAATTTGGGCCGTTAATAACAACGATCGTGGGAGGTATTTATAATTTTTACTATTTCTTGTGTAGTAGTAGCTTTGTTTGATTCATGCATGAATTATGCTTCAACAGACGGTAATGAACCAAAGAGTAAAAAAACATACAATTGTTCTCTTTTTGTATTATGAAGGTTGTTGTAATCAAGAAAATGGAGATGCCACCATCCAAAGAAGCTGAAGGATAATGTGGATTTTGTGTTGAAGTTGATATTTTGAGCATACTTGACCATCCGTGTAACAACCCAGATATTTTCAAAATAATATTTAATTGAAATTGGAGATTTTAATTGTGAAAATCGGTAAATTATGGGAATTAAATTAAAAGATTTTAAAACTTGGAGCTTGTTTTAGAGTTAAAGAAAATTCAGGGACCAAGCCCTAAATTTACCCAAGAAAATTAGGTATGTTATATGTTATATACGTGGTTTTCTGTTTCAAAACAGAAAACCACACCCCAATTGCTCCCAAATTCCCTTCCCCCTACGCCGGTTTCCGACTTAGATCCCGACGCCGTCCGAATTCTGATCATCGTTTTGAAACCACCATCGTGTTCGTTATCGAGTCGGGAACAATCCCCTTAAATTAATTGAAGAGAAACGCTGCCAAACGCCGGGAATTTCAAGTCAAAGCATCGACGTTTTTTTAGCTCTATCGCCGGGAAAATCTCAAATTCACCGCCGATCGTTGCTCCGTTTACGACACCTCCTGCACCATCGTGTTCCTTGTGTCGTTTCGAGTCCGACGGTGTCATCCTCGGTCTCCGTCGACAGCGGCGCGTGAGGAGGTGGAGCAGTCAAAGATTCGGCCGAGTTGAAATCGAGCTCTCCGCCGTTCAAAATTTGAACCGATCTTTGTAAGTATCTAGAAATCGCTCAAAATAATTTTTAGAAATTTTTCCAGGATTTTTAGAGCCTCAGAGGAGGTCTCACGTGCCACACGTGCCGCCGCAGGGAGAGTGGAATCTGGAAAACCGGTTTGACCGGTCTGACCCGACCCAACCGACCCGACCGTTGACCGTTGACCGTTGACCTCTTTTGACCAAAACTTAAAATGGATTTGACCGACCACTAAACGACCGCTAATCTTTTCCGAGTATACTTATTCTGATAGTTTTCGACGTCTCGAATCCGTTTCGTCAAATTCGAACCCGAAGGCCTCCAAATCGAAGGTCAAAGTGGTTGACTTTGACTTTGACCAAGAATTTAAATTTTCGAAAAGTCATACTTTATGTTTTTCGACGTCCTGATTCCGATTCCGCAATCCGTTTGACCAAATTCAACTCGAAATCCTCCAAATTGATAGTCAAACCCTGAAAATGCTTATATACTTAAGAATTTTAGCTTTGAACAATTAAGTAAGATTTGGGGCTGATAAATTATTATTATTTGAAGGTATAAGAGACTCTCCGGATCGTTTGACAGCTCGACCCAACTCTTCCAGATCAGTTAAACCACGTTCGAAAACTGTAGCAGAGCGTGGTGAAACCAACAATCAGTAAATCTACTATTTGAACCTATTATCGAGGTGTGTTCCCTAAGTACTATTTAATTGTTTTATTTGTTTTGAAATATGGTACATTGAAAGCTATGATTTACTGTTTATTGATGGTTTATGGACAATGACTGATATATGATTATTGGTTTTCACCTATATATGATTACGAATTTATGGAAATTATGCTTATTGCATAAATTATATTGATTTTGGGTTGGATTGAATTACAATGGTATAGCTCTGATCAAGCTAATAAACAGTACGGACCTAATGTGACTCTTAGGTAGACTCGCGGGCCCAAGATGCTTCATTAGGTTGACTTCCTTTGCTGTGTGCTTAAGGTAAGCTATATGGACTTATGGACTTACGGACTTAAGGATACAAGCTCTAAAGCCTATCCTTAGGTTGGCTTCCTTTTTGCTATGTGCTTAAAGTAAGCTATATGGACGCAGTTTTGGGAACTGCGGATGGTGTACAAGAAAAGGGTTTAAACTATGATTTTCAAAAGTTAAACTCAATTAAGAAATTATGATGGTTTACTGAACTATTACTCATTTATTGTACCTATTATGATTTTATGGTAATGTGGGACACACTGAGCCTAGCTCACCTTTCGAAAATGTTTTTCCCCCTTTCAGATACTGTTGGTTAGATACCCCGGATTGAGCACTTGGAGGATCAACATATCTCTTGAAGTATATTTGATTGTAATGTTTTTATCATTCAGGTTGACTTTATTTTGGTGACATAAACCTTATTTCAAAGTATTGGATTTTATAGTACACTTTTGCTATTAATATTCGGTTTATCGTGATTTTGATTTTCAAGACATGTTTTAAATTAATTTTTTTTACTTATTGGTATTATATTTATGAGTTGGGTTTTGATAGTATAATATCATGTTATTTATAATGTGATTTTACATTGATTGAATAACGGATTCAGAAAATGTCCTTAAAAATCATGTATGTGATCTACTAGACTTAGTCGAAACGTATAGGTCAGGTTTAGGGGATTACATTTATTGGTATCAGAGCTTTTGGTTTTTAACCCTCGGACTGTGTATGAGTCCACATTGAAAATACGGTTTTGAAATATTTTACAAAACAAGTTACAAAGGCCATGTCACAAAGTTATTAAGATTTTAACGGTATTCGAGACTCCAAGTGCTTATCTAACCCTAAGTTTTATCTTCTGTAGTAAACTTGAGATCCATCAAAATGAGTGCTAGATGTGGTCGTTGAACTAGCCGTGGATGAGGTCGAGTGGCTAGATTTGCATATCCGATCGATGAGATACGGGTAGATCCCACACCTCCGATAGGTGATCATGCTCCTACGACCCCAACGAATCTGTCTCCTGCCACTAGTATTTGCATGACTACACCAAACATAGGAGCGACGGATATTGAGCCCGAGTCTACCGGAGTTGCATTAGATGAGAATTTTGGTAGACAATTTCTGCAGTTAATACAAGGAGCAGTCAGAGCTACTGGTGTTGTATCCGAGGTTCCTATTTCACAGACTTTGATTGCCAATGGAGTTAGAACTTTTGGGGGACAGATTGGTGGAGCTCCTACTAAAGCTGAGGATTGGCTACAGGATACAAAAAGACGCATAGATCAGTTGGGTTTGGACTCAACTAAGAGATATTTGGGGGCAGTAGCGATGTTAGATGGCAATGCCTACACTTGGTGGGAGTCAGTTACCAGTAGTGTTCCTACCGATCGTTTGACCTGGAATTTCTTTAAGGATCGATTTCAGAGTCGTTTTCTGGGAGAGCGTTACTTAGCTCAGAGACGACAATAGTTTCAAGACCTGGTTCAGGGAGACATGACCGTTTCTGAGTATGAGATCGAGCTCTTGAAGTTGCTGAAATATGAATTCAGTATGGTACCTACTGAGAGAGATCGATGTCGTAAATTTGCCCTTGGACTCAGATACGAGCTGCGTAGGCAAGTTGTAACCCATCAGGATGAGATATTTGATGTGTTGGTGGGCAGAGCCAAAGATGCTGAAGAAGTGGAGGTTTTAGCTTCTGGTAGAGAGCATGTTGATCATGAACGATCTAAGAAATTTTCAGGCCCTATTGAGTCATCAGCACAGTCCGGGAAGAGGACTCGTACTTCATCCCCTCAGAGAAGCAATACACGTTTCAGGCCTGCAACATCCTCACCTTTAGTTGTCAGTCGAGGCGGTTCCTCGTCGTATTATCATGGGCCCCTTTGTGAGTATTGTGGTAAACGAAACACAGGAGAGTGTCATAAGAAGATGGGTCTTTGCTATCAGTGTGGA